GCGCTCTTTGCGCAGGAGCCCAATGTGCTGCGCCTCGATGACCCGCTCACCGTCTGCGGAGACATCCACGGGCAGTACTATGACCTCCTTGCGTTGCTGCGGCTCGGTGGCGACCCGAGCGAGACGCGGTATTTGTTCCTTGGCGACTACGTTGACCGCGGGCAGTTCTCTTGCGAGGTGGCGCTTCTCCTCTTCGCCTACAAGATCCGGCATCCGACGACGTTCTGGATGCTGCGCGGCAACCACGAGTGCCGCCACCTTGCCTGTCACTTCAATTTCCATGACGAGTGCCTGCACAAGTATGGCGAGGTCTTGTATAACGCATTTCAGTCTGCTTTTGACCAACTGCCGCTGGCTGCCGTGGTGTCAGCAACGTTTCTGTGCGTCCACGCGGGTATCTCACCGCACATCGAGACGATCGACGATATCGACAGCATTGATCGAGCGCGCGAGCCGCCGCTGTGGGGCCCGATGTGCGACTTGCTGTGGTCGGACCCGATGGAGGACGAGGAGGAGGAAATGTGCCCTGACGCGCTCTTCCTGCACAACGAGCTGCGTGGCTGCTCCTTCGTGTACTCGAGCAGTGCGGTGGGACACTTTCTTGCGGCGAACCGTCTTCTCTGTGTGGTGCGCGCCCACGAGGTGCAAAGGGAGGGATTTCGCATGTTCCGCAAACGCGAAGAGACGGGGTTTCCCTCCGTCATTTGTGTCTTCTCTGCGCCCAACTACTGTGACACGTACAACAACATGGCGTCGTTTCTGCGTGTTGAGGGGAAGGAGCTGCGCGTGACACAGTTCACGGCCGCGCCACACCCCTACCTGCTGCCCAACTTCATGAATGCCTTCACCTGGTCGCTGCCATTTGTTTACGATAAGCTGGAGGGCGTCGCACTGGTGCTTCTTGACGGCGACGCGGTGGAGATGTCGCCATTGAGTTACAGTGTTGAATAACGAGTGAAACAGTCGCTTTTGTTTTTGGTTTCTGCTTTGGGCCTCCGTTCCATAGAACGGCTCCGCACCGTCTTGCCTTGCTGAACGTGAGAAGCATTGTTGTGTACATATATTTATATATTTATATCAACACACGCATGCACTGGTTGTATTTATGTCTTTCTTTCGTGCACCTTCTCCCTCCCTCTCTCTCTCTCTCTCACACACACGCACACACACACACTTCGCAACGTCATTCCCTCCTGGTGCTGGCTGCAGGAAAGAAGTCACGTCATGCCTCCGAAGTTCGACCCCAACCAGGAGATCACCGTCATCGTGCGCGCGGTCGGCGGCGAGGTGCCCGCCACGGCGTCGCTCGCGCCGAAGGTCGGTCCGCTCGGTCTGAACGCCAAGAAGATCGGCGAGGACATCGCCAAGTCGACGAAGGACTGGAAGGGTCTCAAGGTAACGTGCGAGCTGCGCGTCAAGAACCGTGTGGCGTCGGTGGTCGTCACGCCGTCCGTCGCGTCGCGTCTGATCCGCGCGCTGAAGGAGCCGCCGCGCGACCGCAAGAAGGTGAAGAACATCAAGCACAACGGCAATATCCCCTTCTCGGAGGTCCTCAAGATCGCGAAGGAGGC